GGGGAGGGGGAGGGGGAGGGGGAGGGGGTGCGCTGCTGGATGGGTCTCCCTCTGTGGCTGCTTGCTGGGCTTCTTCGGCGCGGTGTATGGGTGATGTGACGTGTGCCTGCTGCTCCTGGATCGACAGCCACGCCCTGTGAGCCTGGTGCGACCTGCACGCAATTAACAGAGTGAGTGGGTGACATTTGCAGACGAACGGAAGAGTGTGTCGTTGGCTCACTTGTACTGCAGGAGACGTGGGATGGTGTATCGCTCCCGGAATGTGTGGAGCACCTTGAGGCAGGCCGTGACGCGGCCATCGTCCTCCCCTTGCACCTTTGCCTGAGGCGTGTCCATGCTCACATCCTGCCACCCCTCGCCCAGAGCCTCCTCGCCCTCTGTGGCTTGTGCCGGCCCCTGCTGCTGCTGCAGCGGCTGCTGCTGCTGGGTGTACAGGTAGTAGATGGGCCGCATCATCAGACACAGACCTGCCAGTGTCAGTCAGTCAGCCGCAGAGAGGAACGACGAGAGTGTGATGTGACCCGTTCGTAGGTGGGTCGGGTGGTTTCTTTCCTCCCTCGTGTTTGCTTGCCTTGGACGTATGGTGTGTGGAATCGCCTGCAGTAGCGGCGGCACCACTCACACATCGTGTCTATCTCCTGACACAATCACAATCACAATCACACACAAGCACAAGCCGACGTGTTGTGTAGCGAAAGGACAGACGAGTGTGTGCATTTCGTCACCTTTTGCTGCAGCGAGGGGTCAGTGGTGGCCATTCGCCGTGTATCTTCGATGAGCATCCGCTCCTCCCATTCACTCATGTCCCCCTCCCGCACACCGCCCGGCGCCTCTCCTTCCGCAATGCCTGTGTCGGCGGCCGTCGGGATGCCCAGCAGCGCCACCCAGTCGTCCAGGGGCAAGAAGGCATCGCCGGCGGTGAGAGATTCAAAGTAGCGATGACGGATCTTGTCCAGGCCGTCAATGTCCATGTTGATCATCGATGATCCAGTTTCGGAAGGGGGATTGCTCATTTCCGGCGAAGCTCGCAGGCGCGATGCGAGCTTGCATGCAGAGGGGAGATGCTTTCCATCTTTCGCGAGCCCCGGCGACGGAGGAGGCTATCTGTGTCGAGATCTATTGGATTTGGACCTTTGTCACCCGTTTCTCCCGCTGCTGCATGGATCTCTCGCCAGTGGAGCACGGCGCGAGCCATGAATGTGTCTACATCGACCAGTGAATGAACATACAAGAGATCGAAGATACATTCCCCGCACCGCCCCTAAGCTCCGTTTTGCAGATCGGGCTTCCTACTGGTAACACACACGACGAGCAGAGCGATCCTGTCACTACGACGCACCCCAGCCAAAAATATCAAGAGCGAAAGACATTCACGAGTGATCGCCGGAACCAAATCAAGTACAGGTGTGTGGCCCCTGGCTGCTTCAAATGTCTTAGGGCACCATGGGCGCCTCCATTTCCTGAACACCACACGAGACAACCACATAAGCCTCCCCGCATGGGACCTCCGCTCGAGTGATGACCCACCTGAATGGCCTTGTTGGTCTTGCCCTTGGCAGCGGTGTCATCTTCTTCTGACGAGTCCACGTCGGACTCCTTGTCCTCATCTTCGTCGCTGTCCTCCTCACTCTCATCTTCGTCGTCTTCATTGTCAGCACCCACCGCATCGGATGACAACACACGGGGGGACCCACCTGAAGGGAGCGACAGACAGACAGAGACACACACACAGACGGAGACACACAGACAGTGACTGAGACGGGGGGAGAGAGGGGCGGGTGTGTGGGTACGTGGCTGACCTCCCTCAGCTGGAGCTGGCCGGGTGTGGAGCTGCGTGGACAATCAAGAAAGACAGAATGAGTAATGCATCGACAACTGTTGGCAGATCGACGATTATTATTATTCCTCCTTCAATGTACCTTGACGAGATCCTACACACACACATCGACAGACACATGGGGACACTTGAGCGACCTTCTTGTGTCTCTTGTGTGTCTTCGTTACGTGTGTATATCGATCACCTGGAAGAGTGTCGGCTCCTGCATGACGTTGTTTTCCTTCAGTGCGTCGTACCCACTCTTGGAATCCAACGCCTTCACCAATGCGGCACCGCCCTGCACACCACACCCACACGATAGATATCGAGACACGACACAAAGGAAGGTGCATACACACACCCACGTCAGAGCGCAGGTCCGACAGCCCACCCAACGTACGTACCTGTATCCTGACGTTTTGTATGGTTGTGTTCTTGAGCAGGTCGATTCTGCGTGCTTCTCGCGGGGCGGAGTATTTAGTGCGCGGGTTGGGGTCGCGCGGACACTCCTTTCCCTGCACAAACATATATCCACATCCACAGGACATACACACAACGGCAGACAGAAGGCATACATACGTACCTTGTGTCCGATTTCCTTGCAGCAGAAGCATCTGATGTTCTGATTGCGGATCTTGCGCTCAGCCTGACTTTGTCCATCGACACACATGTGCGTGTGGTGTCAGCGAGTGGGTCGACCAACGTATTGGCTGACCTCTTCCTTTTCCTGTTTCTCCTGTTCGTCGAGGTCGTCGTCATCATCCTTGGACTCGTGCTTGCTGAACTTGCACCCTACACCGAACAAAACAAACGCGGCCCTGCTGCCTGCCTGCCTGCCGACCGACCGACCGACCGGTCGTTTAATGCATTGATGGGTCCTGACCCACCTGGTGCGTCTTTGCCCAGCTTGCCGCAGCACCACCACATTTCCCCACCGAACTCCGATTGGTGCGTGCGGCAGCTCCAGTTGAAGTTCTCGCTCTCTAGGTAATCACGGCCGCAGTTCTTGCACGTCTTCTGCTCCGCCTCAAACATCTTCCGACGGGCCCTGCACACAGCCAAGAAGGGGCATTTCTCCATGGATAGAGAGAGACATGGGCTTATGCTATGCTGCGTGTGTGAATGTGCCTGCCTGTATTTTTTGAGTCTTTGTTTGAGCTTGTCTCTGTCTTCGCCCATTTCCTTCATCTTCTTCTCGATTTTGTCGCGGTCCTTTCGGATGTTCTCCTTCTCCTCATACAACTGCACCTGTTGAGACAGGCACATTTACGGCGACACTCATCCGCTTGACGCAGACAGACAGACAGGCAGACTATTATGACAGGCATACCGACCATCTCTGTGTGTGCCCTCTGTCGATTGGCCTCCAGGTCGTTCTCGAGCCGTTGTTTTTCATTTGATAGTATCTCCTTTTGTCCCATCAGGTCTTTTTTGCTCTCCATGAGCTGGTTTCTCTCCTTGGCTAGCTTGGCCAGCTCGAGCTCGATTTGCTCCTTGTACTCGTGGACGGCCGACAACTTCTCCTCAGACACCTCCTGTCACATTCATTAACACACGCAACACACATGAAGTCATTGGCAGCGAGTGTGCCAATTCATACACGCCACCTGTTGGAAGGAGAGTCTGTCCTGCAGTGCCTTGATGTCCGACAACTGAAAGGCCGCGGAATGCAAATTGCGAACCTGGACGACACGTTCACAAATGCATCCATCAGCCTTGTCTGCCTTGTGCGAATGCATGTATTTGGTACCTGTTCCGCCAGCACTTCATTCTCCAGATTTGAGAGCGCGTGTGCGTTTTGCTGTGAGGCGACGGTGCGCTGGAGCTGGTCGGTGAGTGCCTCCTGCTCGAACACCCGGGCACTGAGGGCACGGCACTCCGTGTGGCTCTCCTGCAGATACCGCTCCAGCTCTGTCACCTAGCGAACGAGTCAAACAAGGAGGCGGATAGATGGGGAACGCGACATATGAGTGGGTGCTGCACCTGAGATTCGACACACGCATACCTGTTTCTTGAGCAGGAGGCATTCGGATTCGGCCTCCTCCGCTCGCTGGCGGATCGCCTCCTCCTGCACGCGCAAACAAACAAACACACCGAGGGAGAAAGGAAGGCATTCAAATGATGGAGGCACAGAGAGTATGGTGGTCAATCGGTGTGTGCGTCTGTATACCTGAAATTGTGTGGTCGATAGCTCTCTCTGCAGCTGATCGATCTCTGACTTGAGCTGGTGTGTGGTCTTCTGCAACTGCTGACGATCCTCATCGCAGTTCTCCAGACGTTCACGAAGCTCATCTACACACACACACCATAAGACAAATCAATGAAGGCAGGCAATGGCTGGCTGCCCACAACGACGCACTGATTTCGTTCTTGGCCAACTCCAGCTGCGCCAAGAGTGAGTCGCTGAGCTTCAATTCAGCATACACGCCCTCACCATGGCTGCCTGGGAAGCAAAAGTCGCCATATCTGCCATTCCTGTCTGTGTCTCTCTGCTTCCTGCTTTGCCAGGACTACCAGCGGCAGTGGTCGGTGCGCTCGCCTTTGGTGGAGGGGCTGTGCTCATGTCGGTGCGACCCAGCGCTCTCCGCTTCTTCTCAAACATCGGGAGCAAATAATGCCGAACTACCTATCGGAGACACAACCACCAAGACAGACAGGCAAGAAGAGCACAAGCATGGGCTGGCCTGGTGCAGATTGCTCGATTAATCGGTGGGCCCGATTGACTGGGTGGCTGACCTGGGCGGCCAGTTCTGGTGTGATGTCACTGATGCCGATGGCATTATTGGCCAGCTGTCCGTCTGTCTCTTCCTGGGGGCTCCTCCTGTCGGCTGCTGTGGTGTCAGTCCCGCGTGTGGTCATCATCATGACCTGCGGCTTGTTCAGCAGAATAGCCGAGGGGTTGGGCGGGAACACAGACGATGACGCCGTCATGGGACCAGCATCAGAGGGGCGAGACAGGGGCGGACTGCACGACACATACAGACAGGCAAACAGACGCACGCACTCCATCTGCAAGCACCACCGACTCGGAGTGTCCGTCTCTCATCCGTTGCCCACATTTTTCTCTTGGCTGAGTTTTTGAAGAGCATTCCAGCGACAGAGCCCATCCGCGGCCACACTCGCTCCGCGCCAACCTTGGCTTGTGCATCGCCACTCTCGTCGTGAATATCGTTGAAGGCCGGGGGAGGTGCAGCGTGCTCTTCCTCTGGCTGCTTGATGCACGCTGCTGTCTTGATGGCTTCATGCTCAACATCTCCTTGTGGCGCCGCTCCTTGTCTTGGGGTGTGGATGGGCGGGAAGAGTGGAGCTTGGAGCGGAGTAGAACGGGGACTGTCATGCTCAGTCGCGGGGGACGCAGCTACAGAGGAATGGTCCTCCATCGGGTCGTTCTTTGGTCGAGAGCGAGCTTTGACGAGACTGATCACGTTCACAAAAAAAAACTCCAAACAACTTTTGGCTCTGCCGACGACTTCAACGATGGTTGAATGCGTCCATTCCACACAGCGCAGCATGTCATCGCGTCCATCGGTGTGCTCTCAGGGGTCATGTCCGAGCAGCAGCTGCACGGGCTCATCGGCGTGCTGGTGCAGAGGGTGCGCAGCGCCAACTGCACCAAGTTGGACAAGCAGGTGTACATCCAATGCGTGGCGACGGTGTGCCGCCACGTGGGGCCCCGCATCGGCAGCCACCTAACCGATATTGGCCCCCTGTTCCTGAGCGACGAGGACACGGCGATGGACGGGGGCGACAAGGAGGCCGTGCACGAGATGCTCGAAAGCTGCCTCACCGCCATAGAGTCACTCGTCATCAAATGCACACAGCAGGTAGGTACCCTTGCCCTCACACACCCACCTACTCCCTGCTGTGTGGTGTATGGTGGTAGTGTGGTGGTGGTGGTGTGTGCAGATGAGGCCGTACCTGCACAAGCTTCTCCACAAGTCGCTGGCTTTGGCCCTATACGACCCTCATGCCTACTGGCCCGACGAAGACGACGACTCGTCGTGGAGGGTCAGGAGCGCTGCCCTGCAGGTGAGTCACAGGGGAGGATGCTGTGATGCGTCGTCTTGCGTCGTGTCATGTTTGTGTGGTATGTGTAGGTAGTGTCTGCATTAACTTGATCCGTTCGCAACCGGACCGTTTTGAGGAGCTCTACGAGACCCTGACGGGCCCCCTTCTTAGACGCCTTCCCTCGAGTGGAAGGAGAGCGTGAGAGTCAACGTCTTCACTACCGTCGCCGACCTCAGATGTTCGTGTGGCCCACGAAATACCGAGGAGAGTTCAGAGGACTGCTGGCGCCTTTCGAGGGCCTGCTGCTGTTCGGGCCGCCAGGCAAGGGCAAGACGATGGCGGCCAAAGCGGTGGCCTCTCAGGTCAACCAGGCCTTGCTTTGTGCATGCATATGCACTCGTTGTTCTTCCTTTGATGACGATCAGTGCAAGGCCACGTTTTTCAATGACGCGGCCTCACTCGGCTCGAAAAAGTACGTCCTTCATCGCCTCCCTCTTTTGTGTCTCTTCACTCTGGGATATTGCGCCTCTCTCTCTGTCTGTGTGTGTGTGTGTGTGTGTGCGCGTGTGTGTGTCCGTCTGTCTGTCTGTCTGTCTGCATCTGCGCTACTGTGTGGGTGTAGGTATGGTGAGAGCGAGCGACTCGTCAAGGCCCTCTCCGTAGGTGGCCCGTGAGTGTGCCCCGCTCGGCAATGAAACGGCCAAGTAATTCCATATCGTGTGTATTTGCACACTTGCCCGTATCGACCTTTGTGTGCCTGTCGGTGCATCGCATGCAGTCGCATCAAGGGAGAGCTGCTCACACAAATGGACGGCCTCACGATGGGCGAGGACCAGGTCCAGGTCATCGGGGCCACCAAGCGACCTTGGGACCTACCTGGACCCGGCCTTACTCAATCGCCTCCTTCTGCGCACGTACGTCCCTCTTCCAGACCAGGCCGGCCGGGAGGCCCTGATGCGCAAGCTGCTGAGTCAGAACACCAAAGGCCACACATTCACCGACCGAGACTTTGCCAGGGTAAGCGATGATCAATCTTCTCTCCGTGTGTGACCGTTTTCTGTCCCTGCAGGTGGCGAATGAGACAGAGGGATACTCATTTCGCGACCTCACCAATTAAGGTGTGCCGCAAGGCGGCCTATGTGTCCGTGCGCGAGGTCCTACTGACCGGCTCCATCGACGCATCGGATTCCGTGCAGTGCCTCCAGGACGACACTGAGGCGATTGCAGCGCTGAGAGGCCGGCGACCATTGCTCGTGGACGACGTGCTTTCGGCCATCCAGCACATCAAGCCGACGACGACACGGGAGATGGTCGCGGTCTTGGAGCGGTGGAACCGCGATTTCGGCGAGCAAGCGTAGGAGAGAGACACGAGAGACACACATTGGGAGTCGAATTTTTCTGTCATTCCAAGAGAAGGAGGGTGTATAAGTATTTCGTCAGTCCAACGGAGATAGATAGACGTCTGCATCAGGTAGAATGCGAGGTTGTCGCGGCCTACCGCGCTCAGATCAAGCCCGTGCCCGTGCCGCTGCGTGCCGTGTGCAGGCAGCAATCGCTGCTTACATTGTATATTCCGTGGCTTTCTCTTTGTTGTATCGAGTGGACTGGGGGCCGTGGGAGTCGTAGGCGCAACAGCAGCAGCTGAAGCCCATGACCTGGATCGTTGTCTGTCAAGTAACTGCGATAGATACACTTTGACACCACACACCTAGCTACAATTGAGACTTTCTCGCCTGTCCTTGACTGTTTGCTGCCACGAATGAATGGCGAGGACTCCTCATGCAGCTGCCTGCAGTCAAAATTCGCCGAGACTCCCGAGGGTGTGACTATCACCGGCTTGATGCTTATCGCGGCGGAGCCACCCGCCGCGCTTTTATCAACAGGAGCGGCTGAGACTGGGAGCAGCCCTGTTGGACTGAATAGGTTGCATGTGCCATGTGATTGAGGTGCATTTCGTCGGCATGCTGAAGTGTGTGCGTCCGTTCGTCTCTCTGTCTGTCTGTCTCTCTGTCTGTTGGGGATGTCCGTCTGTCTGTTGGGTATCTCCACTTCATTGTGGGGCCATGCCATGGTGTAAGACATGTATGTCTCTGGTGGTTCATACTTGTTCGGACCGAAGGAGCAGCGTTAAGATGGCTTATTATGAGTCTGAATTGCCTCAGTTCATTGTCAACCAACACCACACTACAACACACGACAACACACTCACTCGGTCTGTTGTGTTGGACGTGAAAAAGAGCCTGGCCTGCCGACAGGCGCACGTACTCGCGTCTCACATAAAAAGCAGCAACCCCAACTTCAGCTCAGCTGACGAGAAATACGTGGCTACCGAAACCAGAAACAAACAAGCATCAGTCCGTCCATTCTACAGTGCGCGCAAGGCAGTCATCGTACGGGGGTTTGGAGCCAGGAAAATGCACACAGCCTCCACTCACTCCAGCACTATCGAGTGACTGACGTACTCTCCCCACCTCTGACCGCCCCTGACACATCTGACGATCTCCCTATCTATCTGATGACGAGTCGTTTGGTGACGAAAGACAGGAATTCGTTGAAGTCGATCTGCCCACTGCCGTCCCTGTCCATGGCGGCAAACAGATTGTCCACATCTTCGTCCCGCAGCCGGTTGCTGAACACCCGCAGCCCCAGCCGCAGCTCCTCCTTCGTGATCCCGCCACTGCCGTCCAGATCAAGCATTTGGAACGTCGCCTTGGCAAAGCGCGCGAACTCCGCTGGGAGGCTCTCGCGGACCTGCATTTCCATCTCGCGGAGCGCCTCAGGGCTGACCGACTCGGTGAGCTGCTTGACGCGGCTGGTGGCGCGGACGTGCACCCAGAGGAAGGTCACGAAGTCATAGAAGGCGTGTGCGATCATGGGCACCCAAATGTTGCCGTCGGCCATGTAGTAGATGACACCGAACCAGAGGCCATAGACGGCCTCGAGGAATGCGTCAGCGCCGGGCACCGGGCTGTGGGCGACGCCAAAGAGGAATGACGAGATAAGCAGGCCTGAAGGGAAGCCGCCGAAGAGCGGCAGGTTGAACAGGGGCAGTAGGGTGCCTCTGAACAGCGCCTCCTCCGCAAAGCCTGCCGCCCCCGCCAAGGTGGCCGCCAGCAGAGCCACGGTCGGCAGGTTGGCCTCCTTGCCGAACAACGCCAACACGAGGAACTTGGTATCTCTGTCAATCTTTTTGAAGATCTTCCAGGGCAGGTTGTCGAGCAGAAAGCCGAATGCCACGAGCGGCAGTGACCACAGCACCCCCTGCACCACTGCCTCTTGGTCCAAGTGGGAACCGAAGAAGGGGTCGAGGAACGGAACAAAGTAGGCCTGGGCAGGCAGGCAGGCAGGCAGACAGGCAGGCAGACAGCAACCGACAATGGATTCGTGCGGGAGCATATGTGCCCTCGCGTCTGTCTGTCTGAGTGTGTGTGTCTGCGTGTGTGTACCGTGCCAAAGGTGGCGGCTGCGAGGAGGGCCTCCCCAATGACGAATGAGGCCACCAGCTGTAGATTCGGCCGTCTGGGCGTCAGTTCAAGCAGTTTCAAATCGCCCAGCAAGGCGTCTCTGTCCGTCGGCTTGTCGGTCTTGGGAGCCAGGCTGTGCAGCGGCTGAGGGCTCGTCTCGCCGCCCAACACACGAGGCGGCGAAATGGTCGATGGCATAGGCTCGGTCGTGGATGGGCCGCGGTTGACGGACGTGGGTGCAGGCTGCGGTACCCTGATGAATGCTCCAGAGCGCTTCAGCCCCAGAGTGATGGCTGACGTCCTGCACGCCATCAGTAATGATAGCAACACGGCCGCGCCGCTCCACGGTGCCGTCATCTCAGCCAATTGATTTCAGCTCAGTGCTGCGGACCCTGCCATTCACACACACACACACACACATCACACACACGAAGAGCTGCAATGGCTTAATTCATAGGCAGACGGACGCATCAGGAGAAAACGTACCTCCAGATGGTACCAGCTCCTGCCTTCTTCACAGCTCCTTGCCTCTTCTGCGTCAAACCGCCTGGGGTGCTCCATGAAACCGCTGCCTGCGCAGACGAGCTCGCGGATATTCGTCGAGGATCTGGCGGCCTGACGCCACTGGCAGTTGCGGCAGGCGGCTCCTTGAGTTTGAAAGATCTGGCGAAACTTTGCATCATGTGGACGTTGGTGCTTGTTGTCTGCTTGTCTGCTAATGAAGCGCTTTCAGCAACCATACCGCTGCAGAGGTCTTCCTCGGCGTTGTTTCTAAAGCCAACAAGGCTGCCAGGCCCCCGGCGGCCGTCTCATTCACATCGTCCGTTGAGGATGGCTGACGAGGGCCAAGAGATGATGACGAAGCTGAGGGAGGAGGTGGAGAGTCCGTTCAGGAAAGTGCGCTTCGCCCTGTATATCGCCGGCGCAGGTAAGAGAAGAAAGAGAGTCATCGCAACACGTGAACAAACACGAGGCGACGGCGGGCGGTGCTGAATGGATCCTTGCACACATGCCTCTCTGCCTGTATGCCATGCAGCTGGTGCGGCGGTGAGTGGGCTCGTGGCGCTCACACAGACCATTGCTGCACTGTCGGGCATCAACGTGGAGCTTTTGCCCGAGGCCAGCAGGAACCTGGCCATCGATGTCGCCGCGATAGCAGTGATAGCCTTCCTGTGGCGTCGAGACCTCATATCGCAGAACTCACGATACGAACGCATATCGCAGGGGGCCAAACTGGCCGCACTCGGGGTGGGCAAGACGCCACGAATCCACCTTTACACGAACCGCCATGTCCTCTTGTTGTCTGATCTTGCTGTGCGTGCAGCTGCAGCTGCAGATGGCGGACGACTCGAATGTGGTGAGCCTGGCCGACCTGAGGCGGCGGCGAGGGAGGGAGAAGCGGGTTGCCATTGTCCTGGGAGGCAAAGAGGCCGTGCAGAGGTCGTTGGACTCAGCGGTGCCTGTGAGTAGTGAGTTGCTGGCCAATGACCTGTTGGTGGTGCCGCTCGTGATTGGCCAGACAGGAGACGAGCTCAATGCCGAGAGGATCACCGACGGGCCCAGGATAGCTACCCTCTTCAACCTGCAATCCGACCTAGAAAGCAGGTGTGCGGCAGCAACCAAGCAACCAAGAGAATTATGGACCCACTCGTCGGCTCTTCACTGATTCAGGGAGGGTCAGCCACATGTGGCTCTGCCTTTCGGGTTCAATCAATGGATTGATACCCTGCAGGTATGTATGTCAGTCATGTCGACACGCATACATGTGCACGAAAGAAGCTTCTCCACCCGCTGCGCGCTGTCTGTGTATGTATCCCTGTTTGCAGAGTGAGTTGGTGACTGCTGAGAAGCAAAAGCTGAACCCGATAGATGACGGACTCCTCATAGTCATAAAGAAGAACGGACGCGTGGGGACGAGGAAGGTAGGGACCAACTGAGACACTCACTCACTCACTCATACGGCGAATCCTCACCAGACACACAGGCGGAGAATATCTACAGGGACTCACTCGACACTGTATGTGTGTGTGTGTGTGTGATGCAGGTGGGTGCCCCTATCTGGTCGTCGCTGATTCAGGATGTGGAGAGGCGGAGGGAAGCTGGGTTGGACGTCGTCAACATATAGCTGACTGATGACAGACAGACAGACAGACAGACGGACGGACGCATTGCATACATGCTCCGGAGAGAGACGAGGGGTGACGGGTCCGGCCGCCCGCTGATTGTCAGTGGGCCTGGCCTCCATCCATCGATGACATGTGTGCATGTCATGTGGCGATGGTGGACGGATGGCTGGATGGATGAATGGGTGCATGCCATCCCCACCATCCAATGCATTATCCGGGCATGGGGTTCATTCATTTCATACATACACAATGGTATACCAAGACCATGTTTGTACAGCCAGTCTGGACAGTCTACACCGACCGACATGCATCCCATGGGATTTTGCTGGTGTGTTTGGATTGGTGGGGGTTTATCGCTGCCTGCGTGTGTCGACGTATGAGGCTGGCTGTGCTGTATAGGTGTGCAAATGTATGTGGACCGACTGACTGACTGACTGACTGGATGGGACGATTCTGAGACTGAAGGTCTCGGCACACGTGCATCTTTCTTATCTATCTAGCAAACGAAGATCTCTCTCTACCTGGCAGCCCCCACCACTTGCCCTTGAGCTTCCATGAATGCATCAATGCATTCATCCATCCACACATGCATATGCATGCATACATACATGCATATCAGTCGTCGTCAGTCGGGTTGGCTTGCAGCCGGTCGATCCATGGCACAGAGCCGTCCCCCAGCACCCGCACGTACACCTTCATGGTCTTGCAGCCGTCAAGCAGCACTATCCACCTGCCACCCACTATCGGCGTCTTGCTCCAATACACAGTCGTCGACGCCACCTGAGGGAAGTAGTAGGCCCTTTCCACAGGGTCCCTCCCCCGGCGGCTCATGCACACGGGCCGAACCTCCTCGACACTGCTGTTCGTGTGCGCCAACGGACCGATCTCAGGCACCAACCCACTCCCACCACTCGTGCCAGCAGACGAACTGGCACCACCGCCGGCAGCCGCACTCCCCCTGTGTGTGGTGTGGGTGCTGTTGTGTCTCGGCGACACGCCAGGGCTGGTGATGACGGGGCTGGTGCCCGCTGAGAGCTTGTCCACCGACCCACGACGAGCACCGAAGCTGAAGGCACTCTTGAAGCGACTGGTGGGCCTTTGAGACGCACCACCCACAGAGGCGTTGCTGTTTGTTGTCTGAGTGGGCTGCTGGCTGATGGCGGGGGGCACAATCATGACTGGAGGGGAAGGGTTGGCTGTCGGCGGCACTGGGGATGGGGGGCCGGACCGCTGCTGGCCACTGAATCGAGAGGGAGGCAGCTTGGGAAGAGCATTGGCGGCACTGGCCAGTAGAGTCTCACGAGACACCTCCCAGAAGAGCATCCGTGCATCCTCACCGGTCGACAGGAACGAGTAGTAGGATGGAGAAACCACTCCTGCGACGGACCCACCGCCGCTGCCCCTCCTCGATGAGCCCCCGCTGCCAGGCGATGATTTCATCCGCAGTGGCCTGTCGATGTTTGGCATCTCCTCGACGACCATCTCGCTGCTGCTGTTGGGGATGCCATGTTCGGGTGGTGGTGGGGGTGGGGGCGGGGGAGACGGGGGTGCGTTGGGAGGGGGGTCCAGGTTCTCGGACGAGCAGCGGGATGCGCCGCCCTCCCAGGCACCCAGATGACGCACACCTGCATAGCGTACAGCAGCGCAAGACACACACACAAAACACCGTCGTACAGATGTATCCACTTGTTGGTGTTGGTGGCTGACCAGGTGACTGCAGTGCGCTCCATCGTTCGTCTTGCGATGAGAGTGTGGAGTCTTTGGACTGTCTGGGTGATGGGAAGGGTGGTGTAGGTGGTGGGATGGGCGCCATGGCGATGGCCTTGACCCATGCGTTGTGACCCACACACCTGGCCAGCAGCTGCTGGCTCGGCACATCTACCACACTGATGCAGTCATCCTCACCACCTATGTATATGGCACACATTAATCCATCGGAACAGCAATTAACAACGAGTCCAGTCCGTGGCTTTGCTTCCATCCATCGTATCTCATCTTATCCTATCACATACCGATGAGAAGCAGTTTCGAGTCGGGTGTCCACTGGAGGCAGAGGCCCGCCCCGTAGCTGCTGCGGACGAGCAGCAGGGCCTTCCCGATGGGGTACGAGAAGACCCGCGTGCCCCCCTGGCTGGTGGCGCATGCCAGCTGCCGACCGTCTGGCGAAAAGGCCACAGCAGATATCGTAGGCGCCAGCGACTTCCGAAACTGATAGATATTCATGATGGTACATATACACACAAACAGATAAATGTACTGTATGGAGAGGTGGTACGTGAAGGTACATTCATTCGTATGTGTGTATGTGTCTTTTGCTGACTGGCTGACTGACTGGCTCGCTCACCGCCCTCACCGGGTGTTTCTCTGTGCATACGTCCCATCGTCCAAAGGGATTAGAGGGTCTGTATGGGCTCCTGTGTTCGGCGTGCCCCCCTGCGCCCGCTTTGCCCACCCTCATGGGACAGAAGAGCTCCTCCCGCGCCTCGAATATCCTCTGCAGCCGCTGCACCGTCTCAGAGGCCCTTGATGGGTCGACCCAGTAGCCCGGCAGCTTGTGGGGCGACACCTCGGCGAAGGTGGCGTAGTTGTGGGGGTCGAGGGGCAGCTTCTCGTGCTTGTCCTCAGATAGGCGGGTGAGGGACCCGGTGAGGGCCTCAATGCTCACGGGGTCCTCGGCATCCGCCGCCTCGCTGGCGGTGCCGGTGGTGGCCTGCTGTCCGGAGCCCTTCCTCCTCCTGGGGCTCAACCCACGGCTAGTGGTGCTGCGCTTCTCGGGTGGTTGCTCTTGTGGTGGCGGTGCAGGTTGCTGTTGCTGGCTGCCGACAGTGACAGTGGGAGTGCCTCCTGCTTGGACATGGTGGTTAGATGAGGAGCTGCTCGAGGAGCTGGACGAGGCGCCCGACGATGGCCGTGCGGCATAGGGCACGGTCTCCTTGGCTGGCACAGCGCTCGGCACCTCCACGTTGGCAGCCCCGCGGTCCTCGCTCAGCTCGGGGGCCAATGCACGCAGCCCGTCGGCGGAGCAGGTCCCAAAGTTGCGATGGAATTCCCAGATAAAGCCGCTGCTGGTGGCACACATAAACAGGTCGCTGCAGACGGGGTTGAATGCTGCGGCGATGACCGCAAAGGGAAAAGCCGTCGGCAGCGTGCCGTACGACGGCATCGCAGGAACTGCAGACGCTGGCGGAGGCGGCCGGGGAGGGAACTTGTCACGTCCGATGAACACCGAGCACGTGAACACTGCCTCCTCGGGCTGCTGCTGCTGCTGCTGCTGCTTGGGTGGGGAGGAGTGGCCGTTCTGCGCCGCTTCGGTGTCGAGTCGGAGGTCGCGAGAGGAGAGGGCGGGGGGCTGCTCAGTGTAGATGGCCACCGCCCCGTCGTTGAGGCCCACGAGGAGTTCCAGCGTGTTGTGCTTGTTGGCGGCGATGTGACAGAAAGCCACAGCAGTGAAGACCGCACCACGCTCAACCTCCACCCTGCCATACCTGTGTGTGTTGTATATATGCACACAAACAAACCCAGATAGATATGCACTTGTCTGTCTGTCTGTCTGTCCATGCATCTGATCTGCGTCGTCCGTCCACAGTGCGTCCAGGGTCTGCCGCCACTGACTGTCCCTCACCCACCTCTTTTGCTGCAGTGGATGGAGTTCGATGACGAGTATCTCGTGGTCTTGCCGGTTCACGGCCAGGTAGGCCGCTCCGTTCTTCTTGGTCGTCGCATCCGCTATAATGCGTCGCGAACCGCCGCCGCCGCCAGACCGGGACGATGCACCCAGGGCGTCGGTGGTGGAGCGGAATATCGTGTAGGACTCGTGTGGCGTCTCAACCCGCAGTGTTTCGGGCAGATTGGTTCGCTGGTGGTGAGCCGACATGATCCTCAGCGCCACATCCGCAAACCCAATTGCAAAACCGGTCACAGATCACCATGCCATTGCCTCTTCTCGACCCGAGAAAGGCAGAAGCTCGCCGTTCTCCAATTTATGCTCGTGCATAAGCTGCTTGCTTCCTCTCAAGATAGATAGTCGCCGAACAAAATCTCCCTTTCGGCGGCGCCAGCTCGCAAAGGGAGAGCGGTTTCACGGAATCGCGCAAAGATTGCGAGCTTAGGATCGTGAAGGCCCAGGTTTCCCTCTTTAAAGGCAGATCTATCTTCGATTCGCTTCGCATCTTCTGCAGAGAGCGTTCTGCACAGGTCTGATTCATGGCTTCAAATGAGGGTCCTCCGCGTGATTTGGTTGGCTATGGGCAGCACCCGCCCCACCCCAAGTGGCCGCGCAGCGCCAGGGTGGCCGTCAGCTTCGTCATCAACTATGAAGAAGGTACGTATGCAATGCAGAGGTGCTAGCCAGCTGGGAGCAATGCATTAATGTTGGTGTGGTTCCCGCGTGCAGGTGCGGAGAACTGTCTGCTGAATGGTGACAAGCAGAGCGAGCATCTTCTGAGTGACATCGTGGGTGCGGCGCCCTACGAGGGCCAGCGCCACATGAACATGGAGAGCCTGTACGAGTATGGTAGCAGGGCGGGCTTCTGGCGCCTCCACCGGCTCTTCAATCAGTACGGCATGCCTGTCACAGTCTATGCATGCTCGAAGGCTCTCCAAGACAACCCGGACGCCGCCAAAGCAATGGTGGGTGAGGAGCTGCTATTGCTGCCGTGCCGTGTGTATACCTACGTGTCAGTCCGTTTGTTTGTATGGGGGGTGCAGGTGTCATCTGGCTGGGAGATCGCATCGCATGGTCACCGGTGGATTGACTACCAGCACGTCGACGAGGCCACAGAGCGGGACCACATCCAGAAGTGCGTGGCCATCCAGGAAAGCATCACCGGCGAGAGGCCATGTGGCATGTACCAGGCAAGGGGCGCGTTATGCTATGCATGGATCACGTCACACATGGATGTGTGATGTGTGTTTGCGCGTACCTGTCTGTCGGTCGGTCTGTCTGTCTGTCTGTCTGTCTGTCCGTGACTGAATGAATGCATTGATTGGTCGGTCTGGTCAGGGCAAGCCCAACCAGAACACGCGGCGATATGTGGTGGAGGAGGGCGGGTTCCTCTATGACAACGACGCCTACAGCGATGATCTGCCGTACTGGAACCTGGATTACGGACGGCCGCATCTCATCATTCCATACACACTAGACAACAACGACATGAAATTCGCTACCGCACAGGTACGTCGGGAGGTAGGGAGGGAGGGAGGGATATGTGATCGATAGATAGACATGTGGGTAGGCCGGGCCTGCCCGGCCCTGCCCTGCGAGGGAGGGAGGAGGGGGTGTCTGTGTCTGTCTGTGCGGCTGTCTGTCTGGATCGGATCTCTGCATGCACGGATTGGATTGGATTGGTGGTCAGGGGTTTCACACGAGCGAGCAGTTCTTCATCTATCTCAAGGTGAGTTTGAAGAGAAAGGCAGGTCACAGACAGCCACACAGACAGACAGATTGACCCGCACCGCACCGCACCCCCCGCATCGCATTCCCTCCCTCCCTCGCTGCTGTTTCTGCTTCATGCATGTCACCTCACCCGCCGGCCAGGATGCGTTCGACTATCTGTATGAGGAGGGCAAGACGGCACCAAAGATGATGTCCATCGGACTGCACTGCAGACTCGTCGGTGAGTACAAACCGCCCCCGCACCATTTCTTCCATCTCTGTGTCAGCGTGTGTCGCCTGTATGGCTCTACTGTGTGTGCAGGTCGCCCCGGCCGCATGGTCGGCCTTCAGCGGTTCCTGGAGTACATTGGCAAGCACGAGGGGGTGTGGGTGTGCCGGAGGCGCGAGATCGCCAAGCACTGGTACACTCACTTCTGGCCGGAGGGACACACTATCCCACAACGGGCTGCAAACATACTCTCCAAGATATGAGTGAGACACGCCAAGGGCCGATCGGCAGATGGATGGATATCGATGGATGGTCTGGGTGCGGTGCGGTGCATGCAGGCACCAGCTTTACATAGCTAGCTGGAGGTTGACGTGCCGTGCCTTGCTGCATGCGCTGCGTGCACTGCAGTGCACATGTCGATCGACGTATGCATCACCGGTGCATTGATTGCACTAGTTCGCTGGTGCTGGCATTTATTCATACAGAGTGCGGACAGACTTCCGTCGGTCATATATAGCTATGGTGGACATACATGTGACATGAACGTTCAATCAGCCAAGATTCATTCATTGATTCAGTCATCTGTGCCTTCACTCACTCACCGACTGACTGACATGGACAAATAAAGACACTCACACACCAACGGACTCCAACCAACATGGATCCCAACATGGATGGATGGATGCGCCGCACCGCCAGGCACCTTCCTTGTCTCGTGGTAGGGTCACTTTCCGAACAAGTGCGGCAACTCCATCCATGCGGGTGGACACGGAAGGAGATCGCGCACCAGCTCGGCCTCCAGCACTACAACAAGACAGATAAGGCAGCAGCGGAAAGACCTACCTACACAGGCACCACCAGGGGTCGCGCCTCCGTCCGTCTCGCCTTACGTACGTCACACAGACTGTCAGTCAGTATACGAATGTCTGTCTGCATGTATGTCTGCACAATCAACCGCTGTCAGGTCTGTTATGTTAACACCGTGGGCACTGCGGCTGTCGGCCCCTCAGTCACTCAGTCGGTGAGGCAGTGCAGTGACTGCACTGCAGTGCGTCAGCCGATTTTTTTGCGCCATAGGACGATCTCTTGCTGCTTGAAGTACCTGTGTGCGACGGACGGAGGTAGGGAGGTAGGGAGCCACACAGATACACAGACGTGAGGCAGCGATGCAGCGCAGTCAGTGCAGTGCAGTGCACACCGGTGTTGTGTGGTGTGATGTCTCCATGCCTGGCGCTGTGTGTGTGTGTGTGTGTCTGACCTCCTGTCCTCCTCGTCCACCAGCACCAGATTGAGAAAGTACTTGACCGAAAACTTGTTCTGGACAGCCAGACAAGCGCACCAATGCATCCATCCATCCAAGTGATACATTGCTTTCATTTACGCGTGTGTGGCACATCTCCCTGTGTCCACACGTACGGTAGGTACGTACCTGTACATTTCTGTAAGTGGGGGTGAGGTCGAACCCACTCAGATACAGACGGACGGGGATGCACTCAGCTGAAATGACACACACACACACAGAGAGAGAGAGCGCGCGAGGGGGGGAGGTAGGAGGGAGGGCGGGGTATGAAATGAGTGTGTGGGTCATGTCATTCATTCATTACGTCAGTCAGTCAGTCAGTAGGTGAATGCATGCCAGGCCAGGCCAGCGTTGTTTGGTGCGTGCGTACGTACATCTGACAGGTGCGCCGTCCATGATTTCGAACTTGGATATCGTCTCGCTGTCACTGGTACCGCTGTTGCCTGGCCCGACCCAGCCATACATACCAACCCATCAGACCACCCCACCACATACGTACATACATTATTTCATCCGCATGATGGGATGGGAGGCTCCAATGAGGCCATCCATCCTATGCATAGCCAGCCCATTCATTGTAGTTGGTTGGTTACCGGATCCGGTGGTTTCCTTGCGTATGATGTCGAGCTCCATGTGCTTGATCTTGATGCGAACCAACATGAAATACACCTGCAGGCGCCACACAGACAGACAGACACATGCATGGCATGTGCCCACCCACGGCGTGCAGCATGGTGTTGGCTGGCGCGGCCTCCGTCCGTCCGTCTGTCCGACTGAGTGAGTAGTTTACGTTATGCGTAGCGTACCTTGCCGACGACGACGTCCTTGAGGTGGTATTTGGTCTTGTCGTACTCGAACTCGATGTGCAGACAATCCTCTATGCCCACCTGTGATGGGCAGTGCAGTGCACACATTCACACACACACAGTCACAGTCACAGTCACACGTAATGTAATCAATCACCCATCACATCAACCCACCAACCAACCCACCAACCAACATGGTGGGTTGATGTGATGGGTGCCTGGCCTGGGTGATGGGCAGGCAGGCAGTCAGCCAAGTGAGGTGGCTGGCTGCCTGCCTGGCCTCTGTCTGTCTGTCTGTCTGTCGGTTCGCGCACACACCCCATGCCACCCCACGAGTGCAATCAGTGCGTCCGTCCGTCCGTACCTCCATTTTGAGTGAGTTGTTGATTTCTGGTGCGGGCTGCAGGTTCTGCACCACGAAATCCATCTCCTTCAAAATGTTGCTGAACGACAGAGACCAGGCCACAACACACCACAGACCCACAGACCCGCCATCTCATCTGACGGGCGTGTGACAGCACCGAGACCTGCTCCCCTGTCCACCTGGCGTAGTTGCGGACGATGGTCAGGCGCACCAGATACCTGCACAGCACACGACACAGACAGGACAGGCATCAGCACATGAGGAGCGCCACTTGGCCTGAGTAGGTAGTTACGGTACCCATGTGTGCTGTGCCCGTGTATAGCTATGTCCCTACCTGAGCCTGACGTTGATGCCGTAGTATGTTTCGTGTTGTTTGTCGACTGAGCTGAACTTCCACTTGTACGACTTGGACTCAACCAACGTACCTGCAGACACACACACACAGGAGAGAAGAGATACACAATGACACCACAGACAGACAGACAGACACCATTCATCCGATGTATGTATCGATTCGTCAAGGTCACCGGGGGGACGGATTGAGTGTGTGGTCGTGGCAAGGCAACCTACCCTACCTGGCGGCTCGAGGTCCTTGGTGATAGAGAAAAAATCATATGAGTTGGACCGGTCGTACAGCATGTCTGCACCATCCACCACAACACAACACAACACAACACCACACACACAGCAGCAGCACATGTCGGCGACCGACCGACTGACTGGCATGCGGTGCCGTCTCTGGCTGGCAGTGCAGTAAGCTAAGCAGCGTGTGACTGACCAACTTGTCCGATGAGTTCGATTTTGACCCCCTGGTGGTCGATCTTCTTGCCGGGCTTCATCGACACCATCGCACTACCCGACACATCCTCGCCATCCTGCGTGGCATGCATACAAAGCAACGGGGAGGGAGGGTGGGTGGGGGGGTGGGGGGTGGTCATGGCATGCACACGACACAACACCACACACTACTGACTTACTGACGGCCTCCTTCCGTTCCCCTTTCCTAGATCTATACCGAGTAGATAAGTGCCTTTTCGCCCTTGCGGTCCCTCCCCAGCGGCGCCATCTTGCGCTGAGGCTCATGGTCAAACTGAACCTCCAGCGAACAACCGCTGCCGAAGATCTGACTCAACTGTGTTAACATACACACACAACAGACACACACACATCGGATGGATGACCCAAGCTGATTGCTTGTGAAAGCCCTCTTTGCCTGTCCCTCCCTCTCCGCACTTACCACTGACATGTCGGCAATGGGCCTGCGATCAATCAGTTGGTCACATCATCTTGTTGCCACGCCCATCTGCGTGTCATCGCGCCTTCTCTTGTGCTGCAGCAGCGGTTTCAGGGAGCACCCTTCCCCCCCTTTTTCTTGCGCGAGCTTGTGCCGATCTGTTTCACCGACAGTTGAATCGCGTTTGGGATTAGACAGAGAGCAGGAGCATCAGAGAAGCCGTGTGCGTTTGTGCGGTTGCTGAAGGGCTGGTAGTTCTCAGCATCACAGACAGACAGACCGACCGACGGACGGACGGCAATCGTCTCCTCTGGCCAGCAGGTTAGGTAGCTGTAGGTGTTGATTGGGTTGTGTAGAAGATGGAGTCCCTCACGCAGATGCTGCTCACTGCGGCGACAGATCCAGGTCAGCACGTCACACTCTCACACACACGGCGCTGCGCAGGGCGGGGCGTCGAGTCAGAGAGAGAGATGGGGAGTGCAGGCGCCCGGCAGCGGGCCAGCAGACCCTCTGACATGCACCTCACCATGAGGTGTATACGTCTGGGTGTATACGTTGGGTGTTGGCCGGGCCTGTGCTGTGTGTCGTGTGGTGCAGACTACGAGAAGCGCACTGCCGCCGAGAAGCAGCTCAAGGAGGCTGAAGCCAACAATGCGGTACGGCACGCACACCCCAACGGACGGCACAATTAATAGATACATACACGGCGCCTCCCTCACGAATCAAGGGGTCCGATTTGGTGTGTGCGCTATGTGATGTTGTGTTGTGTGATGCCATGTGTGGTGTGCAGGGTCAGTTCTACACGGCCTTGGCCAAGGAGTTGGCGTCGGACGCCAAGGACGCCACCTCACGACAGCTCGCCGGCATTTTACTCAAAAACTCAGTCTCCGCACAGGTAGGGTACCTACCCATAGTACGTACCTGTCTGTTTACGAATGTACTCATCGCATGTGTGTGTACCGTACGTGTCTGTCTGTGAATTAGGACCGGTCGCTGGACCAGGAGCGCAAGACCCGCTGGCTTGAACTTGACGAGGGCGTCAAGAACAACATCAAAGACACAGTAAGGAACAAACAAAGGAAGGAAGGAAGGAAGGAAGCTCATACATTGATTGCCGGATTGCCAAGGGCTGCGTGTTTGCTGTATGCGTGCCACCCATCCCATGGCATGCCATGCCATGCAGGTCCTGTCTGCTTTGAGTGCCACGCAGCCTGCGCCGCGGGTAGCCGCATGCCAGGTAGGTACATAGACTACACACTCGCACCTACCCTACCTACCGTACACACATCGCTGGGCTGGCTGGAGCGGGGCGGGGGGGCGGGGGGGCCACAGTGGGCGTACACGGTGGGGACGGAATGACCGGCAGACAGACGGACGGCATGGGGTGTGTGTGTGTGTAGGTGATAGCCAAGGTGGGTGCGTGCGAGTTGCCTTTGGGCAAGTGGCCGAACTTGGTGCCGGTGCTGCTCAACGTGGTCACCGAGGGCGACAACACCGCCAAACAAACCGCCCTCACAGCGCTCTCATACCTTTGCGAGGAACTGGTATGTATGCCTAACGCACCCTCAGTCAGTCAGTCAGTGAGCCAGTCTGGGGGTCAAGGTAAGCGGAGATAGGCAAGGGTCGGCTCACGACACCAGACGCGCAGCCACCCAGCCCGCAGCCAGGCAGCCATCAGGGCGATCTCGAGCTATCAGATCTGATTGATGCACACGACGCAGCTGTGCAACCTGCTTGCCTCTGTCTGTGTGTGTGTGTGTTGGTCAGGCGAACATCATCTTGAATGATGGTGCGACTGCGGACATCATCCCCAGTGACCTCACCAACAGCATACTCACCGCAGTCGTGCAGGGTAACCAAACAACCAACCAGTGAAGCGAAGCGAAGCGAAGCGAAGCGAGGATGGATGGATGGATGGATGGACACACACAGCAACACACGCAGCGCAGCCACCGACGGACAGACATCCATCCATCCATCCACTTATCCGTGTGTGTCCCCCATGCCATGTATGTATGGTGTGTATGTTTAGGAATGCGTTTGGAGGACGCGAGTTGCAAGGAGGCGGCGACCAAGGCGCTCTACCATGCACTGGTACTCGCCCAGAGAAACTTCGACAACGAGGTCAGGTGCACAGACACACACACACAGACACGCACACCCAGTGAATGAAACAGCCAGCCAGATATCATTCGCTCCCCACTCGCTGTGTCTGTCTGTGTGTGTGTGTGTGTAGACTGAGCGGAATTTCATATTCCAAGTAGTGAGTGAGAACTGCAAGGGCCCCAATGGGAAGGTCCAGGTGGCCGCATTCGAGTGCCTCGTACAGGTAGGTCAGTCAGCAGGTGGGGGGTGGGTGGTTCCGTATGTCATACATCTCATGGAGCGAATCGATCCTCTGTGTGTGTGGACGCGCTGACCGAACCCTGGATGGGATGCGATGGGTGCAGATAGCGACCGAGTACTACGACTACTTGCAGCCCTACATGGCACCCATAGCCACGGTAGGTAGGTGTGCACAGACAGAAGGACCGACCGACGGACGGGAGAATGAGTTAAACTCACGTGTCGGTCCCTGCGTCCCCGCCTGCTGGGGTGTGTGTGTGTGTGCCCCCCTTGTATGTGTTGGTTTGTGCAGTTGACGCTCGATACCATCAAGACAGCGCCCGAGACTGTGGCCATCCCGGCCATGGAACTCTGGTCAGTCAGCAACCAAACATACCGCACACAACACCACCACAATGGTTATGTATGGTTGTGTGTGTGCATGTGTATGTGATTCAGGTCGACTGTGTGTGACGAGGAGCTGTTTCTCAAGGAGCTGGAACTAGACGTACGCATCGCATCACACGCACCACATGACACACACACGCACACAGCGGATGGGATGACACACACCCGATTGCTTGTTTGGTTGTTCAGGCTCAGGCCGAGGGCAAGAGTCCGGAGCGGACGAGCCAGCGGTTCATCGCGCAGGCGCTGCCCTTACTCCTGCCCATCCTACTCGACACACTCACCAAACAGGTAGGTAGGAATATAGGGCGACCGACGAGGGGAGAGGGAGGACACACGCGGGGGGAGGGATTGCACAATTTCCTTATTTCTGGTGTGTGTGTGTGTGTGTATCTGTTGTCTGTATTAACTAACTAACGTACGTTGGCGTTGCATTGCGTTGTGTGTCCCCCTGTCTGTCTGTCTGTCTGTCTGTCTGTCGGTCACTAGAAGAGTGAGGAGGTTGAGGATGAGTGGACTCTGGCCATGGCGTCGGGCACCTGCCTCTCACTCGTCGCCCAGGTCGTCGGGGACGCCATCATCGAACACGTACTCACATTCGTCCAAAACAACTACCAGTCCGCACAGTGGAACCAAAGAGAAGCCGCAATACTCGCATACGGTACGGCAGTATGGTGGGTGGTTGCGGTCACACTGTGGGCTGGGGACACACGTGGAGGGAGGGAGGGAAGCGTGTGTGCGTGTGTGACGTGAATGGGTGTGTGGGTGGCATGGCATCTATCTACTAGGTTCTATCATGGAGGGGCCTTCGTCCGACAAGCTGGCACAGCCTGTTGCATCGGTAGGTGGGGTGCCGGGCACATACACACACCATACCATACAGCGGCCAAACGACACTTACTCATGTCGTGTGCGGTGGGTGTGTTGCCATCATTCGATTGGTCAGTCGTTTACATTTTTGATGGGTCTGTTGGGTGACCCGTCGGTGGCGGTTCGTGACACGACGGCCTGGACCATCGCCCGCATCGCTCAGTTCCACGAAACCATTATCGCCGAACACGTCGGCAACTCACAGGCGGTATGTATCCATGTTATGTACACAACATACCATCCATCCATCGAGTGCAGTGCGTGTGTATCGAGTCGATCTATGAACGCTATGCGTGTGTGGATGGATGGTATGATGTGTGTGTGGTTCATTCAGGGTTTGGTCAAGGTGTTGTTGGAGAAGTTGAAGGACGAGCCGCGGGTAGCGGCCAACATCTGCTGGGTCATACACGTACTCGCAGAGACACACCCCTACGACGCCAAAGGTACGGTCGGTACACACGGGCGGGGCGGGGCGGGGCACCCTAGGTACCGTCGCCCTCACTGCATTTATCCTGGTGCATACACATATGGAGGGAGGGATGGATGGATGGCTGTGTGCCCGTGTGCAGATCCGCCGGCGCAGTGTACGATCTTGTCCGAGCCGTTCTTCTCACTCGCACGGGAGCTCATTGTCACTGCCAGTAGACCTGATGCGGTCGGTACCCTACCCATCCCATGCACTGCACAAGCTAAACAAGGCCAGCCAGCCAGCCAGCCAGCCCCATATATCGTGTGTGCGTCGCCTGTGTCTCTCTCTGTATTCAGGAGGAGAAGAATTTGGGTGAGGCCGCGTACAGTGCGTTGAGCATGCTCATCGGCAAGGTGGGGTGGGCAGGGGACGGACGGGACGGTGACCCACACAGACAGACAGACAGACCGACAGATGCACATCTAGATGCAGAGAAACAGCCTGAAAGAAAAGCATACAAGTGCGTGTGAGTATGTTATGTGTGTTTGTGGTGTGTGCACATTGGTTGGTCCAGGCTGGCATGGATTGCGTGCCCATGATGGAACAGATCACCGTAGCCATACTCGAAAAGTACACGGACGGACAACAGGCAGTTATCCGTGGCGTCCCTCCTGCATCTGTGTGTGTGTGTGTGTGTGTGTATAGGCTGGAGGCGACGTTTCAAATTACGGCAGCCGATCCCAACTACCACAAGGTCATGGACGTGCAGGGCTCCCTCTGCGGATGCCTGCAAGTACTCACAGTCAGGTAACGTACCTACCCTACCCCCGCTCACCCCCCACTCACACTCACCCGCACAGCACAGAGGCGCTCAGAGAGGGCAGGACGTGCGGTGCGGTGCGTGAGTGTATGCGCCGTGGATTGGATTCTATGCATGTGTCGATATATATACCTATCTGTCAGGTTGAAGGAGAAGATTCAGCCCGTCAAGGAGCGTCTATTTGCGGCCTACATGAAGGTCATCCAGCAGTACGGCCAGACACATGCCAACTCAATCCATGAGGAAGCCCTCCTTGCTATCTCGGCGCTCGCATTCGGTACATGCAACACAACCAAACGCACTGGACGATTCATTCAGAGGCCGGCCAGCCAGGCGGATCTGAATGAACCCGACGCTCTTTCCCTCTCTGTGCTGTGGGTGTGTTGTGTGCGTCCGCCAGCGTTGGGTGAGAACTTCGAGGTCTTCCTGCCGCACTTTTTTCCCTACCTGCAGGCGGGCCTCAGCAATTATGAGGAAACGACCGTAAGCTAAGCGGCCGACAGATAGATGCACGCGTGAAGTGCACACAGACACGCATTGATTGCAATGCAACACACCCCCGCCCTAAGCTCTGCTGCCCCTCTGTCTGTCTGTCCCTCTCTCTGTCTGCCTGCACTCAGGTGTGTCGTATATCCAACGAGGTGGTGGGCGATCTGTGTCGTGCGATGGGCTCCAAGATGCTCCCGTAGGCACCACCTCGCACGGCACCACCACCACACACACACACCCCCCACCATGCAGTGCAGGTTCTTGTCTGTCTTGTTGTGATGTGTGTGATGTGCCTACTGTCTGTCAGGTACTGCGAGCCGATTCTGAACGCCTTGTACAACAACTTGCAGAACCCCAAGGTAGACCGGAAGCTGAAGCCCGTCATCATGGTGTGCTTCGGTGACATCGCCATGGCCATCACCGGGGAGTTCGAGAAGACACTGCAGCCCGTGGTGGCGGTTCTGGCCGAGGCATCCGCCACGCGCATCGAGCACGGCCCGCAGGACAACGAGGAGTGGGTCGACTACATACACTCACTCAGGGACGGAGTCCTGCAGGCCTACACTGGTACGGACGTATGCACTGCACTGCACTGACTGCACCAACACAACACGGTTGCGTTGACTGACGCACACGCACCCATCCATCCATCCATCGATCCAACCTGTTCGTTGTGTGTTGACTGGATGGATGGCTGGGTGTGGTGCCCACCTTGCCTTGCCTTGCCTCTCAGGTATCATTCACGGTTTGAAGGACGCGAGTTTGCTCAACAGTTTTAAGCTGCACGTCAACGGTGTGCTGGAGCTGGTGCACCGCATCACAGAGGACCCACCACACGACAAAGTACTCAAGTCGGCTGTCGCTGTCACCGGGTGGGCAAGTGACCACACACGAACCTTTGAAGCCACACAGCCAGCTGATGTATGTATGTCCATTCACACCTACGACGGGTGCATCCGTCGGCTCTCTCTCTCTCTCTCTCTCTGTGTGTGTGTGTGTGTGTTTTATGTGCAGTGATTTGGTGTGTGCGTACAAGGAGGAGTTGACGGCTCACCTGGTGAAAGCCAACTTCCTGGAGAAGCTCATCAAGCAGGCGCAGGAGTCTGATGACCCACAATGCGCACAGAATGCGACATGGCTCAGAGATGTAAGCCACCCACGAAAGGACGGAGGGAAGCACCAAGCGCCACACCACACGACACCACACCACCCATCTGACTAACGACTTGACGAGTTCCCCTGTTTGTGTGTGGGTGATATGAAATGTATGGATGGTTTCGTGTGTGTGTGCAGTTGATAGGCAAGTACAAGCCGGCCCCGTGATGCGACCGCGTCTGCACCTCACTCAGCCGCTACCCAATACGTACGTACATATGTACGCACGCGTTTGTACGTATGTACACGTAATATATATATACACAGTGAATACGCATATCAATCACATCGGTGGATTGATTGCATTGACGTACGTGATGTATGCGAGTGAAGCCAGCCAGCCAGCCAGGAGGGAGCGGAGCCAGCCAGGTGCCTGTATATATATATGCACACATACATACAGCCTGAGGCAGACAGTCCAGGTCGCTGCATCGCAGTGCAGCGAATGTGCAGAGGACGTACGTCTCCACTCGCCCCTCATTCATTCTCACCTCTTCTCTGTCTGTCTGTCTGTCTGTCTGTCTGCATCTCTTCCTTCCCCCTGCTGCTGCCTCCTCCCCTCCTTGGCCTGCCTGGCTACACCTCTGCCCCTCGATCTGCGCCCGCCCGCCTGCCCGCCCATTGATTTGGTTGACGGCCTCCCTCTTGCCCTCCCTCATTCGTTCGTTCCCATGGTCCGTCCGTCCCCTCATGCAACACGCGGGCTGGCTGCTGGCGGTGCTTTCTTTGCCCTGCGCCCTCGTGACTACGAGCGCAGCACACAAGAAGCGTACGTCCGCGTGTATGCTGCTTGCTTGTGTGAGAAAGGCCTACCCTGCCTGGCCGAGACATGTCATGATACATTCATTCACACAGACCCACCACAGCACAGTGACGGACTGGGTGAGTGGGTTGCCTCTGACTGACTGACTGACTGACTGAACGAATGTATACGTGGTTGGGTTGCATGTATGTATGTATCTATGTATGTTTGTATGTGTGGATGCATGGCATGGCGTGCATGGTTGTGCTGTGTTGTGGTTTATCCTTTCGCCTCCCCTCCTCCTGTAAGTATCCTACCTCCCTGCCTACCTCCCTCCCTGCCTACCTCCCTCCCTGCCTACCTCCCTGCCTGCCTGCCAATGAAGAATGGCTGTCCAGTGACTGACTGACTCACTGACAGCTGTTTGTCTGTCTCTCTGTCTGTCTGTCTGTCTCTCTGTCTCTGTCCCTCCCTTAGCTAGCTAGCTATCGCATCTCCCCTTCTGTCTCCTTGCGCAAACTAGACTGACTACCCTATGTGTGAAATGATGAATGAAATGGTCTGTCTTCCGGTGGTGCCTTTCCTTCCGTGCCCGCCCCTCGACATAGAATGAATGGGTCGGTCGGTCGGTCGATTGAATACATAGAAGTGACTATCAGTCTCCAAACGCGTGCACTTGGCCTGCGCCTGTATGCCCTGCTCCCTCCCTCACTCACTCAATTCTTCCTCGCCTCGCTCCCTCCCTCCCTCCCTCCCTCCTCCTGTTCAAATCCTCCCTTGCTCCTTATTCCCTCCTTCCGCGTCCCTGCCTGCCTGCCTGTCTGCCTGCCTCTCGCAGTCCATCCGTCCACTCAGCCGCCCCCCACCAGCAAACTAGAGTGGCGATTGATCCGTCTGTGAGGTTTGACGACCCGCACGCAGTTTTGACGCGAGTGTTCAGATGGAATGATACACGGGCGTGGCCGGCGTGGGGTGCCGGATGAATGCGGGAGGGAGGCAGATAGACAATGAATCACGGCCCCCTCTTGTCTTTCCCTGTCGATATCAGCTGTTTCGCACGCACCCATCGGACATGGGCCCCCCCATATTCTAATGTATGTATGTGTCTCCGTGTCTGCGTGCATGTGTGGGACGTTGCAGACATACATACATGACATGACATGTGAGCCTGTAAAGCCTTTCTTGTCCCAAGCTCAACCTCTCGTCGCTGACCCACCCCGCCCACATGTATACTTAATGCATCCATCATGATGCTCTCGTCAATGTATTTCCGTCGTCACTGCAAACTAAGGGGCCTGGCTACGAGCTGCACGACTCGCCTTGTACAGGGCGAGCCTCTTTGCTCACGTCGGTCGTCCCGCGGTTATCATTCGTGTCGCAATAGAGTCACTCGCTGGCTGGTCGTCGAAGTGTTTCTTTTCCTTCCGTAGTCACCACGGGACGCCCCGCTGAGGCATCTTGATGCACAACACACGTGCACGAGTTCATGCAGGCAGGCAGGCACCCTGTTCAGCCGGACTAACACGCCATTATCTATCGACGGCATGCCACCCCTCAGGACTTCTGTCTCTTCCGTCTAGAATTACATCCGGTGCTGTGCTACCTGCCCCTCCCACCCCCACTTCTTCAGCACTAGCGCTCGAGCAGGGGGTCAGTCAGGAACCGTGCAGACAGACAGACCGGCAAACAAACCAACAAGCAAACAAAAGACTTCATGACGGGTGGAGAAAACCAGCCCCACATGCCATGCCATGCACAGCCACGCAACGCAACCGCCACTGCAACTGCAACTGCCGCCATCAGACGAGGTCACCACGAGGGACCTGTGCAGTGCAGGGGGACAAACACGCAACGCACTCATGGCACGGACCCACCACCATCGGCGTGAATGAATGAATGTGTGTGTGTCCACCGTACCACCCAGTTGAGTTTGAGTTCGGGTGCCTCGAGGTAGAAGAGCTTCATGTCAATGCGGTACTGGCGGTGGGCGTCAGTCCACAGATACGCGAAGTAAAACGCTATCCACGGAGCCAACGCTACCTCGCGGAAATAGTGATGCGTGTCGTAATCTACACAAGGTAGTTGACAAATACACACACACACACACTCACACATACAGTCCTTGGGCTCGGTTGTATTGTAATGTTTAGCAGCGAGCAGTTGAACGCGGCTGTTTGTCTGTCTGTCTGTCGTGTCTGGCTGCGTGTGTGGATAGGTAGGTAGGTAGGTGCGTCCATACGTACCTCCATTGACGCGTTGTCTGAAGGAGAGCCATGCGGATTCCCACATGACCTCCTCGGACTTGGACTGCTCCTCGATGGTGCGGTAGGGCTTGGGGATCCGGGAGCGGTAGATCCTCAGGGGCTTGGCCGCACGGTAGAACATCTCCTCGAACTCGGGAAACGTCAGGTCACCCATGATCAACTTGTCACAATACGGCTTCATCCACGGAGTGTCGTCACCTGAATCAATCAATCAATCGACGAGTGGCGCACAGCCAAGGCACATGAATGACAGGCAGGGATCGGATCCGCTGTGCCGCTCGCCTCCCTCTGTGCCGATCCCTTTCCTTCTCATCTGTCCAAATGTCTGTCTGTCTGTCTGTGTGGGCGTCTGTCTCTCCAGACCTCTGGCCAGCCGATCCC